TTTCACTCTCGGGAAGTTGCAGCCTCGCACCAGAATTAGGTTGCCACAGTGGCAGGAGGGAGTTTGTTTACAAGAGGGGGAAAAAAATATTTTTCAGCGCTTGCTGTCTACAGTCTGGATCCACAAGCTCAGAATATAAACTGGAGTTGAAAAGGCAATTTGAAGCCAAGAGGCCTTTGTGTTTCCTGTGACTTGAGACTAATCCATGTTCCAGAAGTCATTTTTTTGGTTTTGATTTGAGTGGCGTATTTGAAACTGAATAGAAAAACATTGCATTCTTCTCCTCGTCTCTTTTAAGTACTTCTTTGCACAGAAGCATGATCGAGGTGGTGGGACAAGTTGCCAGGAAAGGACCGTTGAGGCCGAAACATTGGGTTCATTTAAGCAATAGCTTGTTGCTGTAATAGGAGGATGGGAAGATGGGTGTTCTGAAGGGATGAGATCAGATGGGCTGAAATACTTTCATCTCGTCTGTGATTCAATGACATACGATTTTTATAATATCTATTACTGTATGTGAAAACCTCTCAGTAAAGTGCGGTGACTGTGCATTTGTGGCTGATGTGCACACAGCAACAGCCGTGAAGTAAATGACCAATTTTATCCGGGGATTGTTGACCAGGGAATGCTGTGTCCCTTCTCTCCACGACACCCATGAACTTGGACTCCATTGGAGATTGGAGACAATCTTACTCCAGAAGCATTGTGCTGAACATCATACATCTGGTACCTCTGTTGAGGCCTCAATTATAAGCAAGGCTGGTTCGACAGTGATTTGAGCTCAGTGATAAGTTGGGAAGCCCTGTTCTCATCTTCCTGCAGTGACTCTGTGGAAGAATCTCTGGGTCAATGGGACAGCCTCGCACATTCACTCCTTGGCTCACTCACAGCCATCACTCAGCAATTTGGCTGCACCTTTGAATAATTTCAGCCCCTCTGTCATCAACTCTGGTGTGGGCCAGAGTCACGTACATTCATGACTTGTGCCAGAATGGCGTTCAACAGAGGAACATTTGTCTGTTCCGAAAGTGATCTCAAGCGTATAAAAAGTAGATTTTTTTTAAAATCCCATTCCTCTCCTTGTATCCTTACCCTTTAATCACCTTATTTCTTAAATATCTGTCCACTCCAGTTTAAGCATCCCTCTACTTGAATTTATATGGGCCCTTCACTTTGGCTAATGTCTTGGAGCTGAGGGGTGGGGGGGATGGGGGTGCACGGGAGCATGGAGACAGACAAACAAGTTTTAACGTGATTTTTGAAGACAGATAGAGAAGCCGGGGGAATGGGGGCGCGAGGGACGGGGGAAGCATGGTGGAGGAGTTGAGGGAGGGAGTTCCACACAGTGGTGGGGTTAGTAGTTACCAAGGTAGGTTGTGGTGATTGATAGCACATGTGTTGAGTAGTTGAACATTGGTAGGTTCAAGGAGGGTAGGAGTTACCTCAGTCATAGGTGCCATCCTTGTGGCCCTCCCGTTGTTAGCCCCTTTGTTGGAGACGATCATTACTGATGATGGACGATTGGATTTAAGCCACACACCAGAAGGTTGGTATTCAAACAAAGTAACAGGAAAATGTTACAGCAGACACTAGAGCTTCCGAAAACAGCTTCTGCATGTGACAATCTTTCCCTTTCTCTCATTCCATCCTATTATGATAACATTAGGAGTGTGCATGAGAAAGAGAAGGTGCGTTGTTTTGATGGGCCCAATGTAAACTGGAAATGGCACGAATGGAAAAGACTATGAGCTATTACTGTAACTCCTGCCCCTTTGCATCTGTTCTTCTGTTGATGAGGGCACAGAGAGCTCACTTCTCTTTTCCCACAGCATTACGGAATCTTTAACACACATCAGATGAACAGACAGGACCTCGGTTTGACGTCATGGAGCTACAGTAAACCCACAACTATCTTACAGTAAACTCACAACTATCTTACCCCAGAGGCTGGAGCAATACTAGTTTAGTTTGTATTTCCAAGGCATCTTAATGTGTGATTTGGGGCGTAGCCAGCAAGATGTCTGACTCAAATTCCTCATAAATCTGGGTTTGGAAAATGCCCGAACAGGGGCTTTCTGCTTTCACAAACCCAAAGAGATAGGCAGTGACACTGTACAAGTGACATTGTACAAAGTTAGTAGAGTGGCGATAGTACAGCACACCTTTTAAATACAACCAGATCCATAGCATTCCTTTTCCATTCACTTGGATCATGCACACAAATTAATAAGTCATAATCCTTGTTTGGTACAGGGCCTTTTAGGTCAAGGGGATGTCTCAAAGTGCTTGACAGGCTTTACTGTAAACTGTGGTTACTGCATTTTGTAGGTGATCGTTGTAGCCCAGTTTGTAGACAGCAATGTCCCACAAACAGGCATGAAGTTAATAACCAATTTGGCCAGGGAATCGGACAAAACTCGTTTCTCTATATGAGTACAGTAGTGCCGTAGGATCTTAAACATTCACCTGGACAAGCAGATTGGTTCAGTATCTCATCCAATGGACAGCAGCTGTAATAATGCAGCCTGGACTACACGAGTTCAAAGTCCCGACGTGGAGCTTGACACCACAATCTTCTGACAGACAGTGATACTGACTGAGCCTCGTTGGCACCTTTGTGTGACCCTTGGTTTTCTCGGCTGCAGGGATCTGAAACTCATTGAGGAACCAGAATAATAAGTGTAATGTACATTATTCCAAGACGAAAATGCTCGCAAGACTTCAAATTCTGCCATGGCAATTTTCAACAAAATCGATAATGATGGTAATAATTCTTGCATTTGATATAGAAATATAAGGAACATAGGATGCTGTACACCAGCGGGAAGGAAGGTCACTAGGCCATAGGAAATGGAGCTGCTTTCACTAGAACAGAGAAGGTTAAAACGCTCAAATGTTCGAAGAGTTTTGATGAAGTAAATAGGGAAAGAATATTTCCATTGCTTGACAAGTCAGTAACTGGAGGTATAAATTTAAGACCATCACAGATCAGTAAAGGGAGTGGTTTGGAGGAATGTTTTCACACACAGGATTATTACAGTACAAATTACAGTACAAAGTTACATGTAATACGTTCTCTCCCCTTCAGCGTCGGGAGGACGGTCCAAGATGTAGAACGCGCTACAGAAGATAATAGTTGAAGCAGAACCCAGAGGAGTTGTTTTGAGAAATCAGAGATCATAAATATCAGCAACTCCCATCAACGTGCACTGCTCAGCTGTTGTGTGTGTGGGTGGGGGGGAAATTCAGCAGCAAGTGTGGGGGGATGGCTCAGGACAGGCAGAACAATGATGGGAGAGAAAGGCGGAAGGGATAACTTAATCCGGTTGTTGTCAGGGAGGCCGTACTGACATCCCCATCCCTGAAAGTTTTGTCCAATCTCCCGTCTACGCTCTACTGTGTGCGTGACAGGACTGTGGGCAAAGCAGGAATAACGACTGAGCACCCTCCCCAAGTGAGGAAGACCATAAGAAACAAATGGCGCCCGTGGTTGGCATGAGCAGATCTGGGCTGGAGAATGCTCCCCCAAGAGAAAGAGAGAAGAATTACCATCTGGTGCCAGCCTCAGGTGTCTCCAAACCCCAGTAAGCTGTTTGGCTCTGAGACAAACATGACACATGCTTCCTCCACTTCAATGTCACAGGATGAAAAGCGAGAGCAATTTCTGTTTTACATTAGTGCCTACTAAAACATACTAGTCTTTGTTCTCCGTTGCCCGAAGGCGAGAGACTGGTGCAAACAGCCAGTGACAGGTTCAGAAAATAGAATAGCCATTACGGCCACCAATAAAATAGGTACTGGCCGCACCCAGAGATCGGCAGGTTTAACTCTTTGCTGTCCAGACGTTCCAGGTACCAATCACCAGGGGTTTCGATGGACATTCACAGCCAGTTTGGCGATTGCTCTTTAAACGGCCACCACTTCTTTAGGAGTAAAGCTTGCGGTTTTTGATAATACATTCCTTGTGTAAACACAAGGAAACACTGCAAACTTTACCCTTTGTGGGTGACCCATTAATCCTCAGAAGTTGTTCAGCTCGGATCATTGTCCACTAAGGCTTTGGCTCGCAGATTTGAGGATATGTCCACCCATCCAAATCTCACCAGTGGGCCAGGTAGGCTGGTCAACCATCAATGATGCCCTGGATTCCTACCCAAATGAGACAGTTGTTTCTCCTCAGAGGTAGTTCAACCCCTGGAAGCTCCTACTTATCTCTCTCCATCCCACCCCTGCAAGGAGTATATTTTCAGACATAGTAGTCATTGTATTGACATTATAAAGGTGATGTGCATTGCCAGGCTGAAGTGTAGGACAAGGCTGAGTTAAATCAAGAGGTTAGATTATGACCACAATAATGATAATAATGCTTTGTATTTGATACAGCGCCTATAACATCGAAATATCTCAAACGTATTTCACAGGGAATTTCTGTCACATGTAGTGTATTTGTAGACAATGAGACAGACAGTTTGCACGCAACACAACAATGTCCTACAAACAATATTGTTGGTCGGGTTATCAGAAGAAACTCTTCTCTTTTCCTACAGTGTCCAGGGATCTTTAATGTTCACCTGAATAGGTAGATGAGGCCTCGGTTTAATGTCTCATCCTAACTGGGCACCACCCTGGAGTGTCAGCCTAGACGGTTAGGAGTTGAATCATGGGTTAGTGATAATCTCTCCTCATTAGAGTGGGTTACAGTGCTGGTACCTGGAGCTGTCAAGTGCTCCAGAGCGCTACCCCACGTGAAAGACGCTATATAAATGCAACTTGTTGTTGTTATTGTCACTGCTGCTGTCACAATCTGTCACAAACACTGCTACAAGTGCAGGAAGGAAAGGAGTAAATTTACAACATTTGCCTAAATCTTTTAAGTTGCATAAGGAACGTGTTATGAAACATCACAAATGTTACACCACAATGTGAAACCTTTTGTTATTCTGGCTTTGACTGAAGTCTCCACTGGGTGTGTCATTAATTGTCCTATTCTTCTCACACAGCTATGAAGTCCGGGGGCACACAACTGAAACTCATCCTGACTTTCCAGAACTATGGACAAGCACTGTTTAAACCGATGAAGTAAGTCACACGATTCTGCTGGGTTCGGGGCGGGCTCTGTCATTGCAGTCTGAGCTGTGAGATCCACAAAGGGATTTGTAATATGAGTAATAATAATAATCCTCATATTAGATACAGTGCCTTCCACGTCAGGATGAGGTCTCAAAGTACTTTGTAGGATTTACTATAATTTTATAGACAAATACAGGAGCCAGTTTGTGCACAGCAAACAGCCAATGAAGTGAGTTACCAAAATTGATTTGGGGGAATGTTTCCCAGGACATAGGGAGAAACTCCATTCTCGTTTCACGTAGTTGATGGAATCTTCAACATCCACCTGAACAGGCACAGACAAGACCTTGGTTTAATGGCTCATCTGACGGACAGCACCTTCAGCAATGCAAGCCACCCCTGGAATATCAGCCTAGACTATGATCCTTGCAAAATCTTAAGGCAACTTGACACTTTGCAAAGATCTTGGTTGAGATTAAACCAAGTCTTGGTTGAGACCTTGGTTGAGACTAAACCAAGGTTGCATCTGCCTTTTCAGGTGGGTGTTAAAGATCCCATGGCTCTATTCGAAAAGAGAACTTTCTCCTGTTATACTGACCCAACAAATCCCCCCGATTTGTCTCAAGGAAACTTTGCAGAAATCAGTGTTAGCTACTGTGTATTTGTAAGCAAAAAGTGCCCAGTGAGTAGTGAATGGGTAGTGTCCAACAGTTGGGCCCTTGTCTCAACTCTGAAAACTATTAATAATAAATAATAATAATAATCCTTGCATTTGATATAGCGCTGTTCACGTCGTGAGGACGTCCCAAAGCGCTTCACAGAATACACTGTAAAGTGAATTGACTGTATATTTGTGGGCGAACGCGGCAGCCAATTGCGCACAGCAGTGTCCCACAAACAGTTGTGGATTAAGAAATGAAATGAACCCTGTATTGGGTAGAATGTGTGGCATCCAACAATGTGTTCCAATCTGTTAACTAACATGAGTAATGTAGTTACAGAACACTGCAAGCTCTCCTCCACCCCCATCGTCATTCACTTCGTAGCTGTTTGTTTGACATTACCAGCTGTCCGCCTGGCTCAGTTGGCAATCTTCTCGCCTGAGTCAGAAGGTTGTGGATTCAAGCCCTATCTCAGGACTTTGAATGCACAATCTTGGCTGACACTTCACTTCAATGTGGCATGCGCTGCATTGTTGGAGGTGCCGTCCTTTGGATGAAATGTTAAACCAAGGTCCCGTCTGCCTGTTCAGATGGGAGTTAAAGGTCCCATGGCTCCAGGCGTCCTGGCCAACAAATCCCCCGATAAAATTGGCCATTCACTTCATGGCTATTTGTGGGACATTTCTGCGTCCAGATCGGCTGTTACGTTCACCTACAAAATACAGTCATTGCATTTATAAATAATAATAATCCTTGCATTTGATTCAGCGCCTTATCACGTCTCCGAAAGGTCTCAGAGCGCTTCACAGTATATATGGTGAAGTAAATTAACTGTATATTTTGGGGGTCGATCCTGTGCATTGGCCATTCTGTTGATAACTAAGCCGCACTTCCAAGTGTAACATGATGATATGTGGCTCGGCAGCAATAACGCTGTCACTTTGCAAAGGAAATTGTTGTAAGTCAGAAGTGTAAAAAATTAGGAATGGCAGTGGGCCTAGACGCAAGGCGGAAGAGTGCTTCAAGGTCTTAACTGTTTGCGGTTCTAGCTGTGTTTCTGCGATAGAAACAAACACAGTCGCACCACGTTCAACGCTTAGTTCAAGAGAGCTCTCTTGAACTAAGTGGTTCAAACTCTGGAACACTCTTCCTCTATCCCTCCGCCTTGCCCCTTCCCCATTTTCAGGTTGCTTCCTACTCGACTGTGCCTACGGTCACCTCCTCCTCGGAGTCATGCACTGCCATTGGCAAGCGCTCTGGGACACTACCCTGCATGAGGGGGTATCTACCCATACCACGTGTTGAGTGGTATGGGTAGATGCCAGGGAAAATAGCAGGAATTCTTTCTTTACACAGAGGATAATGATCCTAGAAATGGGTTACCAGGAAGGGTGGCTGAAGAAGAATCCTGGATTGGTTTAAGAAAAAGCTTGATGCAGTGATGAGGTGACTGGGCATGAAAGGATATTGAATGGATATCCTTTCATAAATACTAAAATACCACCAATAATAATCCTTGCATTTGAAACAGTGCCTCGAACAATGAAAAATCTCAAATCTCCCCACCTGTAATTGCTGTCAAGTGTAATAACTGGGTATTTGTAGGCAAACATGACAGCCAATTTGCACACAGCAATGGCCCACCAACAGCAAAAAAGTGAATGACTGATTTTATTAGGATAGTTGGCCAGTCCACCGGGAGAAACTTTCCTTCTCTTTTCAAACAGTTTCATTGGATCTTTAACATCCACCTGAACAGACTGAGTGCACCTCAGTTTAACTTCTCATCCAAAAGATGGCATCTCTGACAATGTATTGCTCCTCCATCCCTGCACTGGAAGGTTATCCCAGACTGCGATCTCGAAAGTCCTGACTCGGGGCTTAATTAAGCTTAAGTATCTTGTGTTCTGATTGTAGATATTAGTGAATTAGTCTCTTCAGGCTTTTCTGAGCGTATCTTCAGTGCATGAAGCCAGCAGAGAGGAGATTTGAAACATGAGGATCACTCACTAAACAACTAATTCCATCAACAGCTGCGGAACAGTGCAGTCAGAACCCACTAACAGTCCTGCTGAGCATATTACTAAGTCTCAAAGCTCTTCCTGGGATTTTACTGTAAAGTAAATAATAATAATAATAATAATCATTGCATTTGATATAGCGGCTCATCATGTCTTCGAAGAGTCTCAAAGCGCTTCACAGAATATACTGTAAAATGAATTGGCTGTATATTTGTGGGCGAAACATGGCAGCCAATTGCACACAGCAGCGTCCCACAAACAGTCGTGGATTGAACGACCAAGTTATTTTTTTATCTTCTGACTCAGAGGCAAGAGTGCTCGCAACTGTCACCCTTAAAGTCAAATGTATATCTTCTTTCTGATTAAAACCTGATCGTGTGTATATCGACATCTGCTGTGCCCGAGACAAGACTCTGCACACAGCTGATGCGGCATATTTCAACCAAGGTTTAATTAGTCATATCAATTTAAGTGCCTTTTATATTCATATAATTTACATCGTAACCCGATTAACTTTCATTAAAGAACATGGAAATGGTGCAGGCGAGGAATTCATTTCCAGCAGCCACACACACACACACACACAGTCTGGGAGCTGGGAGCATTCAGTATTTGCTCGCTGCTCAATTTGCATTCATTAATTCAGGAGATAATTGGTGTTCAGTGGAACCTGCCGAGGAGATCACTTGCTTTGCTTGAAGTGCGCTCAGAGATGAGGGGAGGATTGAGCGACTCACAGAACATCACTGGTGACTGTCATCACCACTGAGGTTAGTTCTGTGGCAATTTCAGGGCTCGGTGGCTGAAGGGAGTGCCGTGACACCAGCTATCATTAGCAAACTCAACGCCATTTAAAAGCAGCTTGGCATTAAAGGAAGGGTTTTGCCTCCCCCCGGTGGACATAGTGGGGAAAGGCAGGCAGTGCCCAATCCCACACGGGTCTCCCTCGCTTGGCTCTGTTTTCTTAGCATTTCTTGAATTTTGCTTTAATTTTGCAACTTTTTTTTTTACATAATCTGTAAAAGTACCCACAGAAAAGCAGCTTCAAAATCTATTCTGAAATGAAGAATTTGCCCAATTCTGCGGCTGAGAAATGCTTAGATACAATAGCAGTGGAATTTCAGCCTTCAGGTCTGTCAATAGTCTCACCCTTCAGACCATTGTCTTACCTTTAAGACGGTGATGAATTTGGGACAATGTTTAATTCAGTTTGAATGTGAAAGGCGCTATATGAATACTATGTAAATTATTGCTGCTGCTGTTAATGCAGAAACCGGGTTCTTTTTAATAATTGCTTCCAAATTAAGGCTGAATTTAAGAATGTTCCAAAATTCAGTGCAATCTCGAATTTTAATAAAGTGGTTTTAAGGTCATTAGATAAAATCGGTCATTCACTTAATGACTGTTTGTTGGACATTACTGCGTGCAAATTGGCTGCTATGTTCACCTACAAATACACCACCCCTACACTTCACTCTAATTCTCACAAAGAACTTTGAGAAGCAATAAGCCGTATATCAAATGCAAGGATTATTATTTTAAGGTTAGACCATCAGAAAGATTGCTCCTTTGAGAGTCATGGTTTGATCCCTGGTCTGGGCATTACCATTAACTCCAGAAGGAGAAAATCAGACTCCACCTTGTTGGATGCCAGAAGCCTGAAATTCCACCTGGTCTTAGCCTGTAAGACCATGCATATTTCTTCTGGAATAATGTTATTTAAGCAGCAAGAGTTGATGAATGTTTTTCTCCACTTTTGCAAACCTGACAGCATGAAAGAGCTGAAATCTTGCCAGGACAGATCCACTAATTAACTCAGGATGTGTCCTCCGCCCTGTCATTTCAATGTGCACTGCTCATCCAGCTCTCACCCCCGTTGTGTTTAACCTATAATAATCCTTTCTTGCTTCCCCTCCAAGTTCATTCCCTTTATCATTGTCGTCAACACTCAGATTTTTGTCCAGCGCCTTGGGATGTCCTCTCGATGTGAAAGGTCAAATGTAATCTGTTGTTGTTTTAAAAAAAATGTCTTTGGACTGACAAGAACAGAACTTAGCACATTGCTTCTTCTGTAATTTCTGTCAAATGTAGTGATTTGTAGAAAACACGCCAGCAAAGCTCCCATGGTATGTAAGCCTGTCTCAGTTAGACCTGGGCACCTCTGACAAGGCAGCTTGAAGATCAAATGTGGGGCTTGAAGCCACAATTTTCTGACAGGGAGGGAGAGAGAGAGAGAGCTACCAACCAGTAGCATTCCATCATGTGTTTGATGTTTTCACATTTATTTTTTTAAATTTTTCTGTGCTGGTGTTAATGGAAACAGCAGTTCTGTCAGGAGGAGGCCACAAGCAGAGAGCTCAGTTCAGTCACAAAGCCGTCTGAAGACCGGTCCAGTCTGACAGCTACTCCGCAAAGGCAGAATAAGGAATGTAGGTCAGAGCTCGAATTTATCAATCGCCACCAGGGAGAGTGAGAGAAGCAGCATTGCCAAAAAATGTTGTCAAGCAACTGCGACATGAGCTGCAATGCTGTTACAATGAGCCCAAAACGGACACTATTTTGCAGGATTTGTTAATGGATTACTAGATTAAGAAAGCCGAGCAGGCACTCCCTTCAATAACTGGAGAGCACTTGATTCCAGCTTGGGTCAAACACAACCCGAAAATAGATTTGAGTCAGAGCAGCTTTCCCGGGATTCAGGGTCACTCTCTTCCTCACGCTGGAGGCTGAGGCTCTGTGGAAGAGTGTGGGAGGGAGGCGGTAAGAGCTGTATCGTTCAAGGTGCTGTCTCCTTCGGGTGAGGGAAGATTTCAGGCCACAACGTAAATCAGGGCCCGACGTTGTATGCAGTTCTGCTGCTGAAAGCTCCTTGGAGAAGCTCAGCACATTAGCCCCATCTAGCGATTGCTATGTGCAGCTCGTTACTTACTGCTCTGGAATGTCACAGTTATGACGTCGAAACATTCTGCTTGAGCCGTTTTATGTCGAGGTGGTTCTGTCATCCCCATGCAAGTGTCCCTCACTTCTGGTCACCACTCGCCCTCCCCACTCCGCCCCTGACCTCTCCTCCCACATCACAACCTGCCTGTTCCTTGTCTGCTTTATAAAAACGTGCATTTATATAGCAGCCTACACATGGGTATCATCTCGGAGCATTTCACAATGACGGGGTCAGGCATGGAGTGAAGAGGGAGAGGGAGGGGAAGAGTGGTTGAACGATCTCCTGAACTGACCTGAAAGATGAGATGTTAAATTGAGGTCACATCTGCCTGTTCAGGTGGATGTTAAAGATCCTGTGGCACTATTCAAAAAGAGAAGGGAGTTTCCCTCAGTGTCCTGGCCAACAATCCCCCAAATAAAATTGGTCACTCACTCCGTTACTGTTTGTGAGACATTGCTATGTGCAACCGACTGTCGTATTTCACCCACAAAATACACAGTCAATTCACTTTACCGTCCATCCTATGAAGGACATTGAGACGTCTCAATGATGTGATCAGGTGCTATATCAAATACAAGAATTATTATTATTGTTTGAAAGGGAAAAGTCAACCCGTCTCTTCTCTTCTCCAGGCAGACCAGAGACCAGGAAACGCCTCCGGATTTCTTTTACTTCTCGGACTACGAGAGACACAACGCTGAAATTGCGGCCTTTCACCTGGACAGGTACTGAGAGCAGGGAAATGGGCATCTTACAGCTGCTTGCCCATTGCTCAGAGAAACACTGAGTCTATCCTCTCCCTTTGCCTCCAGAATTCTGGACTTCCGAAGAGTGCCGCCCGTCGCTGGAAGGCTGGTCAATATGACGCGAGAGATCCGAGATGTAACTCGGGATAAGAAGCTCTGGAGGACATTCTTCATATCACCAGGTGCCGTGCTTCCTCTCCTCCTGCTTTACGGATTTAATCCCCAGCCTTCCAGACTCACCATTCATCGTCCTGCCCAACCCCGCTGTTTCCAATATCCCAAAGTGGGAGCTGCGCCAAATCCAGTTTGGGAATATCCCTCACGTAATCTCATAGACAAGGACGTCCTCTATTTATGGAGGTTATTTCCCAGTCAGTGTTATAAGTAGAATACCTTTGTCAGTGCCAGATGTTGATGGGATTTTCCCCCTATTTTGATCGCCACGTCACGCCCACCAGACAGAATCTCAGTACAAATGTCCCCGACCTCAAAGAACATTCCTCTAACAAAGGGGAACTAATTTCTTAACATATTTCTTGATAGGAAAATGCCTAATCATCAAACCTCTTTAAAATATTCTTGTGTTCATTCTGTGTTTTGGAAACTCAATAACGGCGTGTTTCATTAATTGGAAACCTCTTAAGAATCACCGCAAATTAAGACGCCAAACTGCCTTTTGGGGTTTAACCTACACCGGTCGCTAAAGCTACCGAGCTGCTTGTTATATTGTAATGTCATATCTCTCGCTTTATATTATCCTTTTTTTTAAACCAGCGAACAATGTTTGTTTCTATGGCGAATGCTCATATTACTGCTCCACGGAGCATGCGCTGTGTGGGAAGCCGGATCAGATTGAAGGCTCCCTGGCGGCTTTCCTGCCAGACCTGGCCTTGGCCAAGAGGAAAACGTGGCGGAACCCGTGGCGACGCTCCTACCACAAACGCAAGAAAGCCGAGTGAGTAGATAAACCCCGCTCCAAATCAACAAACACCGCTCGCATTCAATCCTGTAGCATGTTGTTTGGAGCACTCAACTCGCAAGCAAGAGGACTTGGGTTTGATTCCCGGGCAGGCCAAAAAGTTAAGCAAGTTTCCTTACTCCTCTACCTAGCAGTAAGTAGGAGCCCAGTTGTTAGTCGATTGGCGGATCACTCTTCAGCAGGCAATAATCCCTTCAAAAAAAAAATAATAATTTGCTCACTCAACTCACGACTGTTTGTGAGGCAAACTGCTGTGCGCAATTGGCTGCCGTGTTTCTCCGACAAAATGTGCAGTCAATTAATTTTACAGTATCTTCTGTGGAGCGTTTGAGGGGTCTCGATGATGTGATCAATTGCAAGAATTATTATAAACACCGCTTGCATTCAATAAACGTCCAATAAATTCCAACGTTTACACAGTTCTTAAATAAAGAAGTCGGCTTCCAAATTAACACTGAAATGGAGCAATTTCCACAATTAGGCGATGGCCGTAAATGGTTTTGGAGGCTAAGGTTAGGTAAAATTTCAGGCTCTGGTCATTGTAACTCTGAGCGCTAACCTGACGTGTGAATCGTTGAACACATTTGGGCAAAAATATCATCGAGCAGAGGATTTGCTACTCCCCCTTCTCAGCCTAGCACAGCTGTACGTCTCTCCTTTGTTTAAACCTTTCCTCTGTTTGAGTGTCTCCCTGCGCATATAACATCCCACAGTATAGTTTAACCTCTTAACCCTGCACACGGTAGAGGGATGAACGCAAGAGGTGAACTCTGGGCACGCTGCTGCCAGTATTTAGACAGATCTCAGAGGGCCGTGATGCTTATTGTAAAGCCCACTGTTAACTGCTGGGATAAATCCAGGCTGTGTAAGTTGCTGGTCTCAGGTTAGCTATCAGAGGAGAGCATGTTATTTCTCTATTCAGCGTACAGTAAATTTTGCTGTAAAAGGCTGTCTGGATCTTTCAGATGGGAGGTCGATGCTGACTTCTGTGAAGAGGTAAAGCAGACTGCCCCCTACCACAGCGGCTCCAGGCTTTTAGATGTTATGGATATGACTATTTTTGACTTTCTGATGGGTGAGTAAAGCCTGAGGTTGAGATACGATTGTAGGAATAGCAATAAAACTAATCTAGCTTTCACTAACCAGACTCTGTCTGTCTCCCTGTCGACCCACTAATTAACAATGCTGCTTCCTATTTTCTATCGAATGTTGCACTGCTTCAGCAAATTTGCCAACAGAATACCCAGTCACTGCACTTTGCAGTGAATCTTGTGAAGCACTTTGAAACATCTTTCTGATGTGCTAAGGTGCTATATATACCAAATGCCAGGAAAAAAATAATTGGCTGCCGACAAATACACAGTCACTACATTTCACAGGAAGTCTCTATGAATCCCTTTGAGATGGTTTGATGTCCCATATCCAATGGAAGGATTGTTTTAGATTATTATTATTATTTAATGATCCACTCCACCCACTGGGTCAGACGGTTGTGGGTTCAAGCCCTGTGACCACATTAGGGTTTGGGACTTTGAGCTCACAATCTAGGCCTTGACATTGCAGCACAATGCTGGGGGTGTGCTGTGTTGCAGGAGGTGCCGCCTCTCAGTTGAGACATTAACCCGATGCCCTGTCCATGCCTGTTTCCCGGTAGATGTTAAAAGATTCCCATGCGCTATTGGAAAAGAGAAGATTTCTCAAAAATCCCCCAGAAAAATTAATTCATCATTCACCTCGTGACTGTTTATAAGGATCTCTGGAACTCTCATGTATTGATGAGATGCACAGAACTCTCAGTTTGGTTTGGCTCCTCTTAGCAAGCATGGTGATGGATTTCTGCATGTGTCAGACACCTGGCTAACCAAGATTAAAAAAAACTCTTAATAAGTCCTTGCTGTGGACAAATAGCTGCCGCATTTACACATATTTTAAAAAAAGTGAGTAAGTTTGACAGAATTTACTTTGAAATGCTTTTACTCATCTCCTGTCTCGTGCTCTGTGTCTCCTTGTTCTCACTTGTGTACTCCTGTCTCCTAGGAAACATGGATCGTCACCACTATGAAACGTTCGAAAAATTTGGAAACAATTCGTTCATTATTCACTTGGATAATGGACGAGGGTAAGATTTATTAGTGATACAAGACGTTTCGATCTGCGTGTGTGTTTATTGTATGTCTGTGTGTGTATGTGCATGTCGGGATATGTGTGTGTGTGTTATGTACATTATTTTTGGTGTGTTTGTGTGTATATATACAGTAAACTTCTGATAATTCAACCTGGCTAATTTGTCACTACTAGTTAAGTCAACATGCTGTCAATATCCTGACCACATTTATTTATGTATTCTGGATAACTCGCCACTGAGCCCTTCGTTGCACATGAATATATTCATATGCTTGTGTGTGTGTGTATATATATATATATATATACATATGTATGTATATGGATGTGCATTTGTGTATACACAAACTTGGATTTACATGTGTATCAGTCAGTCTCTAACCAGCAAATCAAGACACGTCACAGTTGACACTCAGACGTCCCATCTCAGTTCTGAACCACAGCGTGTGGCAGAATCGAGCTGACTTTTGACCTTTGTCGGGCTCACAGACGTGGAGCTTTGGTCTGTGAGTGCGTGTGGTGCCCAGTGTGAAATGCCTCTGCTGTCTGCCTGCTTGCTGCAGGGCTGGTTTTACACTAATCCTTCAAGGGCCGTAATGACTATTCCAGCGTTGAAAACAAACATATGTTTTTCCGTAAGATAACATCCACAAGGATGAATTTTTTAAATGCCTGCTCCTTGGAGACAATACACGGCACAACATCACAGGGGCTGATTGACAGGACTTTGGTGGATGAAAACAGTTGTAATTATTTATAAATGTTTTAGTGCAGAAATCCCACCACCGACCCTTTAATGGTTTCCTCTTGATTGAAAGAGGAAGTTAGAGATTGCTGTAAGATGTCTCACCGAGCAACCAAAGTTCTGGAATCTTTGGGTATCCGAGGAATATTATTTCCAGGATTGATAACAAGTCTTAGAGGTTGAATTGCAGCACGCTGATAAAAATAATAATCCTTTGTATTTGTTAGAGCACCGTATCACATCGTCGAGATGTCTCAAAGCACTTCACAGTATATCCTGTAAAGTGGAGTGACTGTGTATTTTGTGATCCAAGGTGCATTCCCCCCTAAGCCCCCCACCCCTCCCATCCAGCTCAGGAATTTCACCATTGTTTGAGATGTCTTGACAGTGTGATAAGGCATTATTCAAATGCAAGCATTATTACTGTTGCCAGAGAATAACAATAATAATAATAATCTTTGCATTTGATATAGCGCCTTATCACGTCTTCGAGACGTCACAAAGCGCTTCACAGAATGTACTGTAAAGTGAATTGACTGTATATTTTGTGGGCAAAACGCGACATCCAGTTACTCACAGCAGCGTCCCAAAAAACAGTCAAGGATTGAGTGACCAAATTATTATTATTATTACTTATTTTTCGAAGGGATTATTAACCCTGGAAAAGTGATCCACCAATCGTCTGATAACCAGGTTCCTACTTACTGATAGGTAAACAGAGGCACGTGTGGAGTAAGGAAACTTAACAGCGTGTGTGTGGAGTAAGGAAACTTGCCCAATGTTTCAGCCTGCCCGGGAATCAAACCCAGGTCCTCTCACTTGCGAGACGAACGTGCTAAACACTGAGCTACAGGACTCCACATTAATGAGTGGCTGGCAGTTTTTTGAGTGGTGTGTATCTATTTGACCAGGTTAAGTGAGGGAACATTCAATTAAAAAGGTTAACACGATGTATAAAATTCAGTCGCTGTTGCTTCCCATCCTACAGATGTAAAAGATCAGGTGATCAATAATACCTACGCATCATTTCACATTGGATATAAACTGAATACACAGTATTCATCTTTATTGGCATTGGAATACCTGGGGCTCGATTTCTTGGGGGTCAGTGAGGTAGGGGGTAATGAAAATCACAGTGAGCCCATGGCTAACTTCAACCCCTCTACTCCATTCCCCTCTTTTGTTCCCCCATTCCCCTCTTTTCTTCTCACCCCTCCCTCTCACACACACTCCCTCTCCCCCCGTATCCACCATTTCAATACTCCAACCCTGGCCTATTTTCGGAGAAGGGAGGAGTGGGGGAGGGATTCTAGAAGCGGACACATTGTACACACAAAAAAATCCACTTTCAGAATTCATAATTAAGAAATAGTGCAAATTTGTCCTTCTTCCTCCCCTCCCCCATCCCAGTTACTGAGGGGAGGCACTTGTGTTAGGTGTAATGATAGTAATAATAATAATCCTTGCATTTGACATATTACGACATTGAGACGTTTCAAAGCGCTTCACAGAATATACTGTAAAGTGAATTGACTGTATATTTTGTGGGCGAAACGTGAAAAGCACCCAGCGCTGTACAGAGCAGTGGATGTGTGAGCTAGTTTGGGAACACAATGACCCTGTAGGTGGACTGTAAAGTCGGAGGTAGCGCCTGATGCACTTTCTTTGTTGTGCTGCAGGTTTGGAAAACATTCTCACGACGAGCTCTCTATCCTGGTGCCACTGACCCAGTGCTGTCGGTAAGTTTAGAGAGGCTCAGCGACCTCCTGCTCACCATAAGCGTCTGTACTGACGTTACCACCGTAGCTTTGATCCGTGGAGGTTGGGATTCAATTGAATTAAAGAACAGTATATGAGCCACTGACCCAGATTTGTGCCATATTTGTAGTGCAGAGTGGAAAATTCTTCAATTCACTTTTCATTTGCACAGGTTTTAAAAAGAAACCGGCTTCCAAATGATAACCCGAAGAATGCTCTACAATAAAGACAAATTGTCCTTTCGAGATTAAGACTAGGTGGAATTTCGGGCTGTAGGTCTGTATGGCTTAGTTTCTGTATATACAGAAGTACGTAATTCAGCAGATAAGGGGGATGGAAAGTGTGAGAGCTCCCTTAATGATAATAATAATACTCATATTTCATGGCAGGAGGATGTCTTAAATCGCTTCACGGGAAACACTGTAAATTGAAGCGAGTGGGCTTTTTTAATAGGCAAACTCACCATCCAATTTGCACACAGCAATGTCCTGCAAACAGCTGTGAAGTGAAACTCCCTTCGCTTCTTGAACATGAGGGCCTTAACATCCACCTGGCTTCTGAACGATGACTAGATTTAAGAATGTTCTACAATTTGGTATAGTTTTAAATGTTAAGACAAAATGGCTTTCATATATTGAGAAAACAACAACAAAAAAGAATAGGTGCAATAACGAGCCATTGGTTTGTATGGCTTAGCTTCTCGATATATACCAAAACCCCGGCTGGCCAGACCAATGGGGGGAGATCCTGTAATACCTTGACATCCTCTCCAATGCCTTGATATCCTTCCTAAAGTGTGGTGCCCAGAACTGAACACAGCCTCCAGCTGAGGCCTAACCGGTGTTTTATAAACAACAACAAGATTCCATTTATAGAGCGCCTTTCACGTCGGGAGGACGTCCGAAGGCGCTGAAAGGTTCATCATAATTCCTGACTTTTGTATTCTATGCCCCTATTTATAAAGTCTAGTATCCCGTATGCTTTTTTAACAGCTTTATCTACCTGTCCTGCCACCTTCAAAGATTTACTTACATGAAATCACAGGTCTCTCTGTTCCTTCACCCCCTTTAAGATTCTACCATCAGCTTATATCGCCTCTCCACATTCTTCCTCCCAAAATATATCACTTCGCATTTCTCCACATTAAACTTCATCTGCCACGTGTCTGCCCATTTTACCAGTCTCTCTATGTCCATTTGCAGTCTGCTACTATCCTCCTCACTGTTTACTACGTTTCCTAGTTTAATATCATCTGCAAACTTGGAAATTGTACTCCCTATACCCAAGTCCAGGTCATTTTATATAGATCATAAATGGCAGTGGTCCCAATACCAACCCCTGGGGGACACCACTGAACATTTCCCTCCAGCCAGAAAAACAACCGTTCACCACCACTCTCTGCTTTCTGTCTCCCAGCCAGTTCTGTATCCGCTGCCACTGTCCCTTTAATACCGTGGGCTTCTATTTCGCTTACAAGTCTCTTATGTGGCACTTTTATCAAATGCCTTTTGAAAATCCATATAAACTACATCAACTGCACTAACTTCATCCACCCTCTCCGTTACTTCATTAAAAACCTATCAGGTTTGTTAGACATGATTTGCCTTTAACAAACCCATGTTGGCTGTCCTTTATTAACCCATATTTTTCAAAGTGAAAATTTATTTTGTCCGAATTATAGTCTCTAGAAGTTTCCCCATTACTGACGTTAGGCTGACTGGCCTGTAGTTCCTGGGCTTATCCTTCTGCCCCTTTTTGTACAGGGGAGTAACATTTGCAACCGTCTAGTCCTCTGACATCGGCCTGGTGTCCAAGAAGGATTGAAAGATTGTGGCCAGAGCCTCCATTATTTCCACCCTTAATTCCCTCAGTAACCTAGGATGCATCCTGTCTGGACCGGGGACTTATCTACCTTGAGCACCGCCAACCTTTTTAGTACCTCCTCGGTTTATTCTTATCCAATTTCTCTACACTCTCCTCCGATACTGTGGCATTGGCTGCATCCTCTTCTTTTGTGAAGACAGATGCAAAGTACTCATTCAGTACGTCAGCCATGCTCTCCTCCTCCACAAGAGGATTTCCTCTTTGATCCCTAATTGGACTCACCCAACCTTTGACTAACCTTTTATTCTTTATATGCTTATAAAATACCTTTCGGTGCCCTTTTATGTTTTCTCATACAATCTCTTTGCCCCTCTTATTTCCTTTTTCAGTTCCCCTCTGTACTTTCTATATTCTATTTGATTATCTTCTGTATTTTTGGACCTGACATTTATCCTAAGCCTCTTTTTGCGGTTTTATTTTAATCCCAACTTCCTTAGTCATCCAGGGAGGTTTCGCTGTCCTACCTTTCCCCTTTGTGGGAATGTATTTGTTCTGTCCCCGAACTATCTTCTCCTTGAAAGCATCCCATTGCTCGTTAGATGTTTTACTTACCAATCTTTCTTTCCAATCCACCTTGGCTGGGTCCCTTTTTAACTCACTGAATTAGCCCTTTTCCAGTTGAGTATCTTCATCTTTGATTGTTCCTTGTCCCTTACCATAAATACTCCAAACCTAATAATATTGTGATCACTGTTGTTCAGATGCTCTCCTACTGAAATCTGCTCCACTTGCCCCAGAACTAGATCCAGCAGTGTTGATGCATCTCCAACAGTGCTGTGCACTGGAGTGTCAGCCTGCACTATGAGCTTAAAGTCCCAACGTAGATTTTGAACCCACAATTTTCTGACTCCGAGGTGAGGCTGCTACCGACAGAGCCAAACTCGGAGCCAATGACCTCACAACCCAAGGAGAGCTCCCGACACAGGTTGACATTTGTTTCCCATTTTGTTTCCGCCAGGATAAAGCAGTCGACTTACCTGCGTCTGCAGCTGTTGGCGAGAGAGGAGTACAAGCTGAGTGAGGTGGTGCGAGAGTCTTTACTGAAGGACAAGCTCTCGCCCGTCTTAATAGAGCCACACTTGAGAGCGATGGACAGGAGACTGAGGATCATCCTGAATTCTGTCAGTGACTGTATTGAGAAGGAAGGATATAGCAATGTTATTGGAAACGACACAGACGACAATATTAATTCTATCCCAACTGAAAGGTAGTTGGGACAAAGGTTTTTTTTTGTTGTTTTTTTGGTTTGGTTCTTTTTTTCAGGTTTTTTTTACTAGCAGAGTAAGAAGAAAATGGAAAGTCTTGCCGAGACTGTCTATTTATGTTACTTCCTTGAATTCAGTGAATTCACCACCACGATGACAGGTGTTAATTGTTCCCAGATATGTAAAGTACCGACTCGGTCGCAGATTATTGTAATTAAAAGATTTCTAAGTTGAAAGCATTTATCGGGGTGGTGGGGAGGAGAGGGAAAATGCGACGTTTCGTAACTGAGTCTGTGCAGCAGTTATCTTGGAATCAATGGATATTCCATCTCGCCTTTTCCTGTGAGACTTAAAGTGTAACTTTAAAGGTAAAGAGTCAGAAAAACACAAGAAGAAGAATTGCGTCAATCGACAGCGCTCTCGCCTCTGAGTCAGAGGATCGTGGGTTCAAACCCCCACGTTGGGACTTTGAGCTCACAGTCTAGGCTGACCCTCCAGTACAGTGCTGGGGATGCCCTGTATTGTCAGAGGTGCCGCCCTTCTGATGAGGCGTTAAACCGAGGTTCCGTCTACCTGTTCAGGTGGACGTTAAAGATCCCACGATGCTATTGGAAAAGAGAAGGGATTTTTCTCCCAGTGTCCTGGCTGACAATCTAATTGTTGGTCATTCGCTTCATGGCTGTTTGTGGGACATTGCTGTGAGCAAATTGGCTGCTGTGTTTGTCACTGGACTACACTAAGATCTTGTGAAGCGCTTCGAGATGTCTTGACTGAGTGACAAATGTAAGGATTATTATTCAGCCCTTCACGGCTGATCTGTCACATTTCCCTGCCTTTTCACCATATCCCTCGACAGCTCTGCCCACCAAATATCTATGTGCCTCCCTCTGAAACATTTCAACTGACCCGGCGTGTCAAACCGTGAAACTATTTGGAAGCCGTTTATTCCGTAGTTTCTTAAAGAGAAATTGAGGAATTTCGCATGCAATTTCTGCACAATCTTAAATTCCAAAGGAAGGACCATCTCAAAGGCTGAGACGAGGTGGGATTTCAGGGCCTGGATGTGACGGAATCTGTTATGAAAGGTTTGCCTGGTTTCACTCCTCATCGTTGCTCTTTCTTGACAGTATCGGATACTGAGATGTGAATGTCTAAAGGCAGCAGAATGCGATGTTCAAGTGTAAAACGGTAAAGGAAACCGGTGAAACGGACAAATACTTGAATGTTGGTTAAGTTGATTTCAGCCAATTGAGCATTGCTTTTACAACGAAACAAATAGCGAGATGAGCAGTGGCTTTGGTCTGGTTTAGACTGTGGTAGGCGAGCTGTGGGTTTATCTTTCCAGCTTTTGCTTTTCTAGTTCCGTGCGTGTGGACTGAAGAGGCCGCTGTGTGCAGATGGTTAGGCTTGCGTTAACGATGTTCTCCCCCTTCCCCCTGTGAGTCTTGTTTTGCGACATGGTTTTACAAAGTGCAATAAAGAGATGGCAATTGCATAGCGTGGGTTTCCTGTTCTAATTCACCTGTCGCACGTCAGAGAGAAGCAGCAAAGTGACCTGGTGCAGCACTGAGACCGGTCCGTGGGTTGAGCCGAGAATGGCTGCCCGGACACGCGAATATCGCCGTAACTGGTAACCGAACCTACGTCACCCTGACCAACAGGAAGTACGCTCTGATGCCTCCCAACAACTCCAACAACTTGCATTTACATGACGCCCCCCCACGCAGGATAGCGTCCCAGAGCAGGAGTAGATTGCAGAGCCCTGTGGGTCAGATTGGCTCACTTCCAGGTTAGCAGCAGGAGTTATTGATAGATCGATCCCGGGGTCACAAATCACTCGATTTCCATTCCATCTCAGTTCAAAAACACAGATCAACACAAACTGACTAACACCTCCCAAACCGGGACTCTATTTAAGAATTTTTCAAAGTGTTGTGCAGTCTTGAACTTTTAAAGGCAAGAGACTTCATGCTAAGATCACAGGCAATTCCAGGGCTCAGGGAAGTATGGAGCTGATTCAAGCCTAGTATTGGGAGCTGGAACCCACCCTTCAGCATTCAAAATCAGTAGCCAGCTGGAAAATATCATTATCAGTGATGAATACACACACGTTCACCTACAAATACACAGTCACTACACTTACAGTAAATCTTTTGAGATGTTTCAAAGCTTTATATTAAATGCAAGGATTCTTATTGTATTAGCCTCGTCACTGACACCTCCCCACCCCACCCATGTAACGCACATGAGCCAAAGCAACAACTACTACTTGCATTTATGTAGCATCCTTTAAGCTGAGTTGGGTATCAAAGTGCTGGACTATGGTGGAGTTTGACGCCGAGGCAGGGAGAAAGGAGAGATGACCAAAGACACTGTCAAAGAGGAGAGCCTTCAGGTGCACATAGAAGGCAGAAAAAGAGGGGACAAGACAGAAGGGATAGAGTCAGGGAGAACAGCACAGAACCTGTAATCCCAGTCTTCCATTTATCTAAATAATCCAGTCTGCCTGTTCAGTTGGATGTTAAAGATAAAGAAAGAGAGGAGAGCTTCTCCCCGTGCCCTTGGGCTACAATCTCCACACGCAAAATTGGTCACTCTCTTCACGGCTGTCTGTGGGACATTGGGAATGTACAAAATCCAGCCAACTAAGTGGGACATCAGGACTCGACACTCAGTACTCACTGCTGGGTGAAAGAGCGAGTGCAGATGTTAAGTGAGTTAGACAGCTTCTCCCACAGTACAGACTGCTTCACAGGTTTGATGAAGCATTAAAGGATATGCATACACCGCACGCAGTGTGAATACAATCAACTGTAAAGTAGGTCAATGTATTTGTAGGTGAAGGCAACAGCCAATTTGCACAAGGTAATGTCCCACAAACAGCCGTGAAGCGAATGACTGATTTTATCTGGGGGATTGTTGACCAGGAAAGCAGGAGAAACTCCCTTCCCCACAATGGGATCTTTAACATCACCTGAACAGGCAGATGGGACCTCGGTTTAATGCCCTTCTGAGGGACAGCACCTCTCAATACAGTGCTCCCCCAGCACTGCACAGAAGCGTCAGCCTAGACTGTGAGCTCGAGTGTTAAGTCTTCACAGTTCTTCATCTGAATCAAATATTTTCTCCACGAAGCCATATTCGCATTCAACAGTGAAATCAACAATTAGGAAAGTGATTTGCATTCACCTTTCAACAGGGAGAAAATAATTTTGCTTTTAGTTAGATATTAATCAAAAAATTGACCGGGCATGAATTGAAACTTGGCATTTCAGTTCTCTTTGTTTGCAGTATTCTCTCCATTCTCCTTCATCATCACAAGTCACAAGAGCACAACCTTTGGATGAAGGAAGTCTTTTTCATCTAGATCTCATCTTTACAGAATACTCACCCTCCCGCTGTCTCATCACAGCATCAACAACAACAACAAAATTACATTTGTATAGCGCTTTTCACATTGGGAGGACATCCCAAGGTGCTGTTCAAGCTATTTATTGAATGAGTCCAGTTACTGGCCTCAACCACCCCTTCTGGAATCTCTTCCAGTTGTCCGTTTGTGCTGTCCCAGTCCAATCCCAGTCTCTCATGTGGGTTTGCCCGGATTAATTAGTTCTCTTTCTTGGTGACGGCAACTAGATGACAGTCCTGACACACACCTCACCAACAACATTTATACAGAGCTTTTGACATCGGGGGGGGGGCATCTCAAAGCACTTCATGTAACTGACCTGAGACCGAGCTGGGGATTGGGGGGAAACTGAGGAAGAAGGGGGGGGGGGGGGGGAGATTGGAAAGTTGCCGGACTTACTGCAAAGTGTAGTGACTGTGTAAGTTATAGGAGAATGTGGCAGCACATTTGTGCATTTCACTGTACCACAAACAGCAAGGAAGAGAATAAATGATCAGTTTTATATGAAGGATTGTTGGCCAGGATACCAGGAGAAACTCCCTTTTCTTTTCAAATAGTCAAATAACTCGATTTCTTTAACAAGTCATCTGAAGGACGGCACCTCCGACAGTGTCGCACACCCCCAGCCCTGCAATGGAGTATTAGCCTGGAGTCTGGCCAATGAACTCAAGATCATGACTTCCGATTTCAACCCACAACCTTTCGGTTCAGAGGTGAGAGTGCTGCTCGCGTTTAACAGGGAATCAGAGCAGCATATGAGGAAAAATATGAAAGCTACGGATCCAGACATACGTGGAGTCAGGAATCTATCTTGTCCCAGTGCGTAGAATGGGATAGAAGTGAGAGCAAAGTGAATTTGTGGTCAATGGCGCCACCACGTGGCACTTAGTGAGTAATAAATGCATGGACTGAGGATAACAGAACAAAATCCCAAACCGTTATAATCCTCACATCGAATGCAGTGCCGACAACGTCTCCAAGCATTTCACAGGTAATTACTATCAAGCACAGCGACTGTGTGTTTGCGAATACATGTGACAAACTCTTTTGCATGCAGCAAAATCCCATAACCATCCAGAGGTGAATGGCCCACTAAAATCTGAAGTAATTTTGGCCGACACACTGGGAGAAACTCCCTTCTCTTCAAATAGAATCTTCAGCTACAGAATCTTCAGCGACAACCTCAACGGGCAGAAGGGACCTCATGTTAATGTCTAATCCGAAGGGCAACACCTCTGATAAAGTAGCATTCCCCTCAGCCCTGCTTCTGGGTCAACCGACAACCTTCTGACTTTCATTGTAAGTGGGCAACAGCTCCACCTCATCTGCCTTGCAATCTAACTGCGGCAGGTAGGGGCGATTGCTGAGCTAGCCTTAGACTGCACTGTACAGCTTTAAACATGCGTGAGATCAAAATAACTAGACCTCAGTTTCAGCCGGTGACAAAGACCTGAAATTTCACCCGGTCTTAGCCTGCAAGAGTGTTTTGCACCAAATTGTTGAAAATGTTTCATTTGATTTGTGGGACACTGGCCTCCAAATCTAAAGACGTTCACCTACAAATACACAGTCACTGCACTTTACGGTGTATATAAGTGCTGTGAGATGTCCTCTCAATGTGAAAAAACCTATATCATTATTATTATTATTATTAGAACTTCTAGTTTACACAGTATTAAAAACTTAAATAAAAATGGTCTTATTGAGTACAATTAGGTGCTTGCCTTGCCTTTTGCTGCCTCACACTGTTTGGACACAGTGAGTGATGGTTAAATAGAGGCTGTGCAACTCCATTAATGTCATGAGGTTACAGATCAATTCACCACCAAAAGTTACAGCTGTAACATTCCTCTGGCCAGACACTGGTATTTTGGAGCTGAGTGGAATGGAGAGAATGTGAAAGTCGTGTGCAGACAGATTTAAAGTAGTATCCCAAGAAAAGTCTTTAAACTAAGAATCCCAGGTGAGACCCAGAAGCCGGATGGAGTTGGCCTGTGACTCAGTTGGCAGTTGTTTGGTGAGAGAATGTGTCAAACGGCCAGAAAGTCGTCATTATAAAAAGACGCTGTTTTTTTCATGAAAAGCTGAAGCAGAATAAAGTTCAGAATGAAACAGTTAAACTGTGGACGCTGGAAACGTGAGATAAATCTTGGACTCAACATTATTTATCTAATTCCCTCTTAAAAGCTCATATGGATTCTGCCTCAACTATCATTCTAGGTAGTCACCTCCCTACATCTCCAACCTGCTTACTCCCCAATCCACCACCTACCACCTCGGCTCATCCCCTCGGCTCCTCCATCGGTGGCCTTGCTTTCAGCCACTAGGTCCCCCAAACTTTAGAACTCTCTCCCTCGATCCTTTCGCCTCCCCCCTCCCCCCACTCCGCTTCCTATTTTTCAGGAGACCTTCCTCTTTGACCATGCTTACAGTCACCTACCCCCTACTCCCAGCCTGGCATCAGGCTCCGTCACTGTTAAGTGCTGCATGAAGGACATTACATGAATGCAAGTTGTTGTATAGTATTCCACATCCTAACAACCCTCCAGAGTGTAAATAAAATTCCTCTTAACTGCTCCTCCTTTGTTCCTTCTGTAATTACTTTAAATCCTGTAGATACTGTCATGCTGACTAGTGGAAATAATTTCTCCCCATTTATATTACCAAAATCCCTCATAATTTTGAAAACCTCCATTACGTCTTCTCTCAAGCGTTGGAAATCGACGTGCGATTCTCCAAACCTCATTCCCCACAGGATGTCAGCAGAGAAAGGATGGCAGAGTCGTCCCTATGCACTGGTTTGCAGGTCGGGTTGTACACGGGGGCCCCAAGGGTGAAAGCACTGCGGTTCCAAATCCCTCCAGCCCAGCCGCACGTACTGTGCAGATAAGATATCATCTGAGCCCTCAAATACTCAGCATACCTGAGCAAGCAGACAACACAGGAAAGCTTTAAGCCAGACGCTGAGCAATGCCAACATCCTCCCAATGGGTGAGAGAGAGGACGGGCCAATGAAATCCCACAGTGTCCTGGCTTGCCACTTCCTCCTGGATTGGCATGATCTCCCTCGAACACAGCACATTA